CTTGTTGGTCGTCATCAGCCAACCATAACCAACCGCAGGTATTGCAGCACCCGAAACTCGAACCCGCAACCTCATTGTATGAAGTCTAACACGGGCACCGCGGGCTCGCTGTCTTGTTGGTTTCGATCGTGTATATTAATGATAGTAGAGGGGCGCCCACTGAGCGGTTGTGGAACGGCCACACAGCGTCTAATGATATAGGCAGAATGACATCACCAACAATGACAATGGGGACTTGAATGGTCATTTCTGTTTTATGAGCCGTCATCAGCCGCATATAAACGCACATAAACAGTGGCAGATCAATGCAGACAGCAACTATTGTTCACTGACAAGTCTCCGCTTCCTACAGAAAATTAAGTCAAATTATCGATTGAAACAGAGCAGGCGCCAAAGAGACGCGAGCTTTATTCGCTTGACTTTTTGGATTCAGACTGGAAACCTTCATCAGAGGTAGATTCATTTAACGGTGGCGGGCTGCATAGGTGGCGCAATATTCATAGGCTGCAGTTCTTATGCTGCTACATGCTTCTAAAGATTGGCTACCCCTTGCATTTATCCGAGGAGACTGTACTGTATGCAAGCCAGCTAAAGTGAATAACGTCTGAAGGTCTCGGGACTTTGGTGAAAAATTAATTTGAACGGCGAAGAGGTCAAGGAGACTTGTCTTTTAGCCCTTGGGATTCTAATATGATTAAACAAACTGCTTACTGCTTACAGGACATTCATCGTCCATGACACGGAGGTTTATTGTCAGGAATGATCTCTGTTAGCAAATGAGGCGTTTTTGGATCAGTAGTACCAACTTACCGATCATTGTAAAATAGTTCACGCACAAGTCATAGTTCCTGCGAACATCGTATTTCTTCGGACTTATTGGTGGTGGATGAGTGAAGAATCCATCGTTCATACCATTAATGCATGCAAACGTTTGCGTTCCAGGTGTTTGAATGGGTAAAGGAGAAGAATGTCCGAGTACCGGCACCGAAATAGTTGCGCAGCTTTCTATCATACTGACTTCTAATGTGATCAGCTGCCTGAGTTATTCAAATAGACAATGGTGATTCGGAGGTAATTCGAAATTCACTGAAGTTTTATTCTCAGAGGATGAATTAATGTCACCTTAAAAAAGCTTAGTTTGGGTTAAACGTGGATTGTGTCACTAAGTTCTCCATTGCATTGTCGGCTAAATGCAAAATTGGAGAATGCAGTAAACAGGGACAAAGAATTAGTAGACCTGCCTACAACAAAACGCGGAAACATAAACATGTGGACCACAAACTGAGTCTAAAATATGAAGCATAACCATTTTATCGAACCAAAAGTCATAAACGTCCCAACTCTGTTCATTCTCTGTTGTTGAATCTAGGATGCTTGCTCAATCAGAGATGGACGCACACCAATCTATTGGTTACCCGAAGCTAACGAGCTCCGTTTGGATGGAAAATTACACGATCATGCGACCAACTGGGACTGGAAACACAAGCAGGCGTTCATGTACTGCGCAGATGGTCCACAGACTGAGTTTAACAGATTAATTGTAAGCAATTCACCGAACCATAATTCATCAGTTTATATTTCTACAGAGTATGTATGTAACGGAGAACATTCGATGTCAGCCAACTCGCTGCCTAAGCGGTGTAGTTTTTGATGGTATGGACTTTATAGCACAAGTATTATTTAAAACATTAAGGCCTGTTCAAAAACCATTCTCGCTCTACCTGTCCATACAAACGTTTCAGCAAGGAGAATCCATAATACCTCAAAACATATAGAGTAGATAGTATAAACGGTTACGTTCCAAATAGCTTGGAATCAAACGTAGAATACGTTTACATATTGAGCTTACCGCTTTGTCTTGCTGCTCCTTTAAGATTTTCAGGTCGAATAAACGATCCTGCTCCTTCTCCTTTAGACGCATTTCGATCATCTGCTGATTAGATAGGTTGAGTTCCTCACGTAATCTGTCCTGTTCTGCACGCTTTTTTGCTCGACGATCCAACTCCTCAAGCATATCAGCCGCCATCTTTCGTCTGGCTTCAGCGTTTTCCTGTTCCAGTCGCTCCAGTTGAAGCAAACGATCTTGCTGGTTTTGGTTTATTTGTTGCATAATTTCACACGCACCAAGCATTTCCTGAAACAAAATTTATCAATTATTCAAGACATAAGAATAAACTCCATGTAATAGTTGATTACTCACAAATGAAAAGGCTTCCAGACCTGTTTTAAAGTAAAAGTTTTACAGTAATGGACTCTTTGTATTATATTTTTATATTGCGGCAGAACATAAGTACGATTCTGTGCATAAATGGATTATATGATGGAACGTTAAATAAAGATAAAAAAATTTTTCATTGATGTTTTCATCACGATGCGTTTAGCCTGTAGACGTATGCATGTGACAGATGGCTCACCTCTTCTCGCTTCCTCCGATCGATTTCTTCTTGCATTTTTATTCCTTTTTGACGTTCCATTTCCATCATATTATCCAGTCTCTGGTCTTCATCACGAATTTCCTTTTCTATTTGTCTCTTCTCTAACACTTGCGCATCTCGGATAGCTTGAATTTTAGCGTTCATTATTTGTTCATTCAACAGTTTTATCTCGTCTTCCTCCTCCTGTCTCTGTTCCATTGCTTTCGTCAATAGGTACTGGGCCTTCTGTTTGGCTTCTTCCTCGAGGTCATTGAGACGCTCGTTAACTCTCCGAGCAATATCAAGTTTCTTCATTTCGAACTTCCTGTCAGCAGACTCCATCTAGGACCAGCAAGACAATAAAATCGAGAGGTATCAGACGAGAGGAAAGATCCTAGGCGCGGGTAGAGCAGGTAGCTGCTTTACAAATACATACAATACATACAAGTACAAGTACATACAATTCTAATATCTGCAGTAAATCACACATTGAAGATAATATATACCATGGACACACAACAACCGAACCTGCATGTGGCATGGACCTAGGAAAAATTTTAAAGTTAGATGAAGTCTACTTTCATTTAAAAATTCATTTAGCCGCGAGAATAAATCATGCACATCTTCATTACGGTCCGTGCCTATATTACGCGTAGTCAGAGTCTCTAAAAAGTAGTGATCAAGTAACTAGGTGTAATATTAAATTATGCGTTGAAGATGAATACCATCCTCAAAAGTCGCTGAAATAGGATCTAGATAAAGCGTAGACAATGAGATTTTTGGTTTGCGGGACGAACTGATGAAGCTGTTATGAAGCCCCTTGGACTCGCTTCGGCTAAATATTAAGGCAGAATATAACAGCTAATGAAAGGTTAGACTAGTCGATGTATCCAATTGTTCTCTTCTGCTAAGCACACACAAACAACGAAATTTCTTTTACCAGCAAATGCTAATAGAAAAAGCGGTTATAGATCAGAAAAGTCGTTTGGCGACCTTAAATTGAAAACTCCAAGATATGACTAAATTTGACACAACTTACTGCATAATTGAGTCTATTACCTCTTAGCTAAAACGTTAGCTAAACTCTAGCTTTCTTAATCCATTCTTATTTCGATTGATGTGTTTCAAAGTAAGAAGAAGCATTTACTATTTTGGGCATCAATCATACCCACCATCGTAGAGAATTGTAGCTAAGCTTCGTATCTATAAGGTGTTAATGAGATGAAAACTTCGTTATTCTTTATTATTTCCCAGGCTTTTACAAAACCTGCCTGGGGCTTTTTCGCTAATTAATGTAATTCACGCAATCCCACTGGTTATTTGAGAAACCAAATGTAAATTACGATACCGATATTCTGAATCGGGCGGTTTTGAGGGGCCAACAGATTGTCATCCCTATAAAGCTATCCTTTAAGTTTTGACAAATGTGAGAGCAGATTCCATAATATCGTTACAACTAAGTAGCATATCGATCACCTGCGAAAGAAATCTCTATCTTCCTGCACAGTTACTGTGCTAACTCAGTCAAATAATCGTTTTTCTTTAAATCCCAAATTCCAATTCTTCATAAATCCCTCCCAGTATAAACAGCAATTCATAGGTTCAAACGACTTCTTCTTATCAACTAGAGTAACATATACATATACGGTCTCGCAAAACCGTACGTATGGAATCGCTTATAGGTTTTTATCATGCAAGACATACTGTGAGGTCTACATACTTCAGCATCTTGCATATTCAAAATCATTGCGACAGTATGGTATGCTTTAAATCCAAGCTTACCGCAAAATGGAAGATTTATTCTAAACACGACAGTAGCACAATATTAGCTTTTAGTTTCCTTGCAGTTTTGCTATCATTAAACAACTGCGGCCTGAAGTCAGTTAACACTTATTCACTTCCCTGTAAACACATGGCCCCACCTGTGGTGGGGCCACAGACGGGGCCAGGTGGGGCAATCCGGGGCTAAGGGTTAAATAAATTTCTTGTAAAATTTCTCGAAATCTATTTTTTGTCAAAAAAAGTATCAATAACCATTCGATTGCATCTTCTTCTTTGACAAAACAATGAAATCGGGGGTTTAAACGCGAAAA